TGTTTGCAAACAAAACGTAAAGTCAAATATGAACACTCAAGTTTCAAAAGAAGGAATAAATTTTGTAAAGCTAATGTGTATTTGTTTTTGTTTTTTTTTTTGGTTTTTCATACGGCATGTGGTATCCGCATTGGGGTTCGACTAAATTCAAATTTGCGCTGAGAAGTTTCATATTGAAGGGTAAAACATTTTCTAACAAAGTCGACTCCATACCCAAGATGAATTGTGTATTTGTTGCAACACTTCTTTTACCTCTTTTTGTAAATAAAACCGGGTATACATTTTTTTCATTGAATGTTTCTTTTTGTTGAAGAATAATGCTATTATTTGAGCAGAACAAGCAATATATAATAATAATTTAAAATAAAATTAGTTCTAAATTTTGGATTTGAAAATATAGTTAAGTTGTTCATATTCTTTTTTATTTTTTACTCCCTCTGTCCCTAATTACTTCTCCACTTTTGAATTGGCACACCTATTAAGGAAATAATGATTGACATAGTGAGTTTACCATTTTACTCGTATTAATTATGAAGTGGATGAATTAAAAACGTAAGAGTTTCAAAAAATTCTACCTTTTTCAAAGTACTCCATATATCCCTAATTACTTGTCCACTTTTGAATTGACACACCTATTAAGAAAACAATAATTGACATAGTGAGTTTATCATTTTACCCCTATTAATTATGAAGTGGATGAATTAAAAACTCAAGATATTCAAGAAGTTTTACATTTTTTCAAAGTAATTAATTGAGGGTATAATAGGTAAAAAAAATTATTCTTTCTTGATTTGTCAAAATGAACAGATAATTAGGGACAACTTAAAAAGGAAATGTGAACAAGTACTTAGAGACATAGGGAGTAATTAACTGAGGATATAATAGATAAAAAAAAATTGTCCTTTCTTGATTTGTCAAAATGGACAAGTAATTAGAAATAACTAAAAAAGAAAAAGTGGACAAGTATTAGGGACAGAGGGGAGTATCAGAATTTCTAAATTTATTCGTAGAGGCCTTTAATGTATTAATGATGAGTAAATTTATTGCATGAATTGTGTGATTGCCAATTTTCATATGCATTTAATAAAGGGAACACTTCAAAGAAAATCTTAAATTGAGGAGGTTTAAATTTAAGGGTAATGCTAAATGGCCAGAAATATTTGGCCAGAATTTGGCCAGAAATGTAAAAAGACTAGAATATCCTTGTTTTAATTTTTGCATTTACTTCCTCAAAACTTTTCCCTCCAAACAAAACTAACTTTTTTATATTTCCCAACTCCTTGAACTACTAAAACACAAACTATTTGGCTGCCAAGGAAAGTGAAAAAATGTTTTTGTGTGCGTATAGTTTATCAGATTTATTTTTAAAAATAAATATTGTTTAGTTAATAAAAAAATTGTACGCTTTAGTTAAAAAAATATTTTTGTAATTTTGTTTTTATAAATTAATATGTTTTTCATTATATACCAAATTATGTTC